CCCCCCCGACAGGGCTGCCACTCTCAGCAGCTTCTGCAGGTGCTCCCCAAGATTCAGGAAGCACCAGTCACTCATGGTGCCAGGAAAAAAAGCAGCAAAACTCACGTGACAGGAGTGTATGCCAGAAGTCAAGGAGGCTTGTTCCTCCAGGGAAATTCTCTGGCTGCTGGCCAGAGTGTCTCCACCCTGCAGTTGTGCCTCAGCTCCTCCAGCATGGCAAGAGCTGAGAGGAGCCAGGCAAGGGCAGTTTGCCCAGAGTGGGATAATTTGTCCCTCAAAGTGCACATGCAGGGAAGTGCACAGCAGCAAAATGTAGCAGCATAAAGTTGTGCCACTACTATTGTTGTCACTGCAAGCACATGCCCCTGAACATCTGGATGTGGTCTTTGAATTAAGACTTTTTATTAAAATGCTATAATAAAGATAATGAGTTCATGCAACTGGCGAAATTTGAAATATAAAGCCAAAATTATATACACACTAGGTATGTCTACACGTGTACATTTAATCCACATTAGCCCATTTTTAAGGTGCATTAAGGGTGCATCTCTACACAGGCGTACCCTTAATGTGACTTAAAAGTGGAAATTTTAGGCTATTCGAACATAAATGTGATGCCTGCATAAAGCGCAAGTCTACACATGCATGTGCTAAGGTGCATTAACATGGATGTGCAGACTGGGGGCTAAAGTTAGTCCCAAGTCAATGAATACATACAATATTAATGCACATTAGCGCATTAATACTGTGTGTATTCATTGACTTGGGACTAACTTTAGCCCCCAGTCTGCACACCCATGTTAATGCACCTTAGCACATGCATGTGTAAACTTGCGCCTAAATCTCCTTAATGCACATTAAGTTTAGGTACACTGTTAGCGTGACCGTTTGGGCACCGTGGACTCCCCTGGTTCTCGCCTGCCATGACTTTGATCTTGTTATGAAAATGGGGAGAAAAAAGTGATGAGATGACAATTAGTACCCGCGGAAGGACCACACTCAGTCTACTTTATAACTTCAGTGCTTTTATTTTTTCTTATTTTACAGGAAACCAGTTGGGAGGCAGCAGCTTATCTGGATTGTCCCTGGAGTTGTCCTTCCACTCTGCAGAGGACCCCTGACCCCTCAATGGATAAGGTAAGGGGACAGTGTGCTTCACTAGTTAAATGCTGTTGGCCAAACAGTGTCCGCAGGGTCCCCTCTGCGTCTTCTGCCCTGCAAAAGGGGATCTCCGGGCTACTCAGTCCTATCTGAGTCCTAGCCCACTTATCTTAGTTAAAGAAATAAACAGGAAAGACAAGAAAAAGTTTTTCCTTTGTTCTGGTCCCGCTGGGAGCGTCTCCCTGTTAATTGTTCAATTAGCGGCTTATTACAGCCGCCACCTGCAGCTTTCTCTGGCAGAGCTGGTGTGCAGGCTCTGCAGCTCTCCCGTGGTCGGGGCTTGCCTTCCTGATCCTTGACATCCCCCTTCCCTCAGGGTCCTGGAGCTCCGCTTCTCCCTGCACACACCGCCGTTCCTGTGGACTCAAGGTAAGCCGGTGTCTGGGTTCCAGGATCCCTCTGCTCCCTCTGATCCTGCGTCGGGTCCCTTCTTCCTAGATCCTTCCCTCTGGAGGCGCTCTCTCTTGCAGCTCCTCTCTCTCTTTTCCCCTGTGGTGCCCAAAGGCAATCAGTCCATGCCTCACCCCTCTTTTTATGTTCATTTTGGTGGGCTAATCACCTAAGCTTGCCTTAGGTGTGTAATTTCCCCCACCTGGCAGGGGTCATCGTCAGGTCAGTCTAAACTTCTAACCTTAATGATGTCATGACCTACTTTTAAAGGCTGAGCATGAGCAGAGTGTTTGAAACCAAATTGTTTGTTTTAGTAACCAAGGGAACAGGACATTTAGGACCATTATGCTAATGAGCTGTTGCCATAGTTTGAATTGAATTGTCCTTATTATGATTGACTTTGATTGATGGAAGTAAGAGAGGGATGATTGGACCTCCATTTGATGGACAGGTAGTGTGATTTAGTCCTTATAAAAACCTGTCCAGGGTCAGTGTGAACAGGACTTCTTTCTCTGGGATAAGAGGGGTTCTTTCATTTGGGAGCTTGACTCTGCAAAGCAAGAGCTTGGCTTATAAAGAAGATTGTATGACTGAGTGTGCAAGTGTCATTAATGTAGAACTGATCTAGTGCTTGATTGTGTGTGGTTGTCTGGAACCCAGAGTTTCTTGGTGAGGTTGTTGAGCGATTGAGAACAGGGTGTGTTGCGACTGTGCTCAGGAGCAATGACAGAGGGTCCAAATCACCTAGGCTCTTGCCGGCCACTCAGCTGCTTCCTTGCATTGCATCGGTCAGGGAAAGTATCACCTACCCTTTGTTGAGGTGCTTAATACCCACCTAGAGTGAGGGAACAGCATAGAAATCCTCAGGGGTGTGACATACTGCATATCAGGCCTTCCCTGCCCATCAGCACTCTAGGGTGAGTCTGCCACCTAGGGTGACACACTAGTATTGGGCTCCATAACTGTATATTGTTTATAGTACTTGTAAGTTGTTGTGCTTGTTGTTTTAGTGTTTTGTTGTGATTACTTGTCAATATAGATATACTTCTTGTTGACTTTACAGATGTGTGAAGTTTTCATTGGTAGTTTGCACCTCTGGTCGGGGCCAAGCAGTACGCCAGTTTCCAGAGGGGATTAACCTTAGGGTGTCCAAATTTAAACAGGAAGTTGGTAGGGTATAGAGGCTTAATGACCCTCTCTGTGTGTGTTTGAGATGTGGGTGGATGTCTGAAGGAGTCCAAGGGTTCCCTTGCCAGCCCCTCCTGCTTTTCAGTATAAACACGCCCACTGTGAAAAAGTTGTTTTTCCAGTACTAAAATTTACCATGTTTAGCAACAGAAGACACCCACTTAAGTTATTAGAATCCCAAAAGGCAATAAAGTTTACTATGTTATGTTTTTCTGCATAGAACATCTGTAAATTTGTACAGGAATAAAACTGGAAGGGGGGAAAAAAAAGGAAAGTATACTTAAACTTAAAATCATATTTCTTTCCAGTATAGGAGAACAAATGAAAAACATTTGTATCACAGAACATAGCAACAATTTTCAGCCCAGGTTCTGCCTGAGCTGAATGTACAGCTCCATATGAAACTCCTTGCCAGTTGAAGAGCCTTACATTCCAATTAGATTGCAAACTCACTGGTCCAACTTCATGTCAAATGACAACATAGTTTCTCTTGGGATAAATGTCTTCTTCCAAGGTAAAATCTAGTGATAGCCAGTTTTCAAAGGTCTTTTATATAGAGAAATTAGCTTTATGTGACTGGAACTAAGGGTAGTTCTTGTGGACAGACAACTTGCACAGTTTGATATGGGCACTGCTTTAGGCCAGACATGAAGGACAAGGGAAGCTCACAGAGCATGGTAGTAACTATACTTTTTTGCGGGGAAAGGAAAAGCCAACCCCCCCACCCCAAGACACATTCATGCCCTCCCCTGACACATTCATGGCATTGGTTTTGTTATCAGGACCAAGATTGTTACTCTGGAACCTCATGACCTTTTGTCTTCAACTGACCAGCAGACAACATGTAACAGTCATCAGTGCATATGCCCCAACCCTTGATGCAGATGATGAAACAAAAGAAGAATTTTATTCTAAACTCAATTAAGTCCTGTCATCTGTCTTAAAAGAAAATAAGACAATTCTTGGCAATTTCAGTGCTAGAGGCTAGGGACAGACAATACACATAAACCTGTTTAACTGATCAGAAACTGGTTTAAACTTGTAACAGAACAAATGTTCAGTGCACATAAACCAGTTTGAAAATGGCTGAAACCGGTTTGAGATAAACCTGGTTGAATGTAGCATCAGACTTAACTGATTTATCTCAAACCAATTTAGGCAATGTCTGCCCCAGACCCCTTGCTGTTTTAACATAAACCAGACTCCCCCAGCATCCCGGCATGTTCTCTGGGTTGGGCGGGACTCTCTGCTCCACCGCAGGGCTGGCCCCTCCCCTCTGCTCCCTGGCTGGAGCTCTGGCAGAGACTGCAGGTACAGTAGGGTCTGCTAGGCTTCCCACTGCCCTACCCCTGCCCCCACCAGTGCTTGCTGGACAAGCAGGGGTCCACCCCCTCCCTCCTATCGCCCACAACACAGACCCTAGCCCCATGGACCCTAGGCATGTGGTATTGTGGCTAATGCTGAGAAGTGTCTCTGTGTGTGTCTCCAATTTTACTGGGACAGGCAGACAGAACAGTGACCACTTAGGGATTTTGGGAGCTAATCAACAGATCAGCCAGTAAGCTATTTAAGAAGAGTCTGAATTAATGGAGAGGGATATTGTTTTGCTGATGGAGTGATAAACACTTACCAGCTGCCTGCTGGCTTGCTCACCTGTTAGTTTGGTGCAGACAGTATAAAGAAGCGGGGAGAGGGAGATTGAAAAGCTCCATATCATCAACAGATGCATGCACTGCACACACACCCTGCCTCAGAGTGCTAGCAGGGGGCTGGGGGCTAGCAACACTCCTGCCCCTTGAGCAGCCAGCAGGGAAAAGCCTGGGATGCTGCTCACAGACCTCCCTAATCAGAGCATCCTGCCTGGGCCTAGGCCTGGGTCTGGCCATGCCGCCCGCAGCTCAGCTCTGTG